TTTTAAGTCAGTTGAAATCTGAGTTGAAGGAATTAAATCACTGTTTAGTTAGTTTACTACATTTATCAGACAGAGTAAAGACCTGGCTTCTCATTCTTAAGATTTGAAATTTAGAGGTAATTAATTAATGTTTTTGACAAACTGCTAGTTTAATAAATAGCAGAAACTAACCTTATATTTGTCTGCAGTGTTGGCCCCTCCATGCGTTCTCATCGTTCAGTCTTTTCCTCRGAACCTGGGAGGTTTACACCTCAGCCTGTGGGAACTTTCTCAGCAACACAAAGCACAATGACTCTTTCAAGGTATTGTTAATAAGCCCCTCCCCCCTCGCAAATACAAATCACAATGCACCAAAAAGCAGAAGTGCAAATCGTTTAATCTCAGCCACATTTTTACTTATATACAGTGAAGTTGACCTCATTAAACCATAAAATCACKTTCTCGTTTATTGATCTAATCACAATGCAAGTTTTTAAAACTTCTGGCTACTCCACGTCGACTCTAATACATTCAACAAAGCAAAAAATCAACTAAACTTAAAAAAAATCTGCAGTTTGAAATTAAAACACCATAAAATGTAMGATATTAACACGAATGGCACATTACAAGTTTCCTGTGTCAAACCTTTAACTGAATGCGGTCGAGGTTATTTTTTGTGAATTTAGGTCCCTCTTTATCTGGGGGGTCCCCCTTCCTGATCCTGTGCGCACACACACACACACACACAAACACACACACACACACACACACACACACACACACACACACACACACACACACACACACACACACCAGGCACCAAAGAGATTGTCTTCTAAAACATGGACCTTTGTAGATTACATTCATTCACTTAGGAAGGATTTACCGATGTGCACGGAAACTTCACCATCTCAAAAATTTATTGCCAGCTTGCCGGAGAACACATGCAGTTTTTGTTTTTTTGTTTTTTAGAATAAAGCCACTCGAGTGTTGACGATGTGAAGGAAAGTGTGYGTGTGTGTTTGTATAGATCCTACAGGAAAACTCTTCAAAAGGCACTTAAACACGGGGAAATAGTTCAGAGGGGTTGTTTTTTTAAATCTAAAATCCGACTGGATGCAAGTGAGACCGCCGTCACACGCATCGCTCTTTGTCTGAGACTTGAAATTAAAACACACTCACTCAGCCGCAGTCATTCAACACGCCATTATTTCAGTGCGACAGTGGCCTGCCTCAGTGTTTGGAAAGGGAAGATCCTTCTGTGCAAAAGTTTTGCGTCTCTGCGCAGCCCAGCGGTAATTAAGTGCACGTCCCGACTCTCRCCTAAGATTTGTCTCAACACACATTTAATGTTGGGGTTTTGTGGGCTTTTTTACGGGAGATTTCTTGTCAAAAACAGTCCAAATAGGTGGTTCTGAGCTGAAAAAAAAAAAGGCACCAGACTCACACAGAGAGGAAGTCTTTGCTGTTCTGTGCTCAAGCTCCAACAGAGACTTGGTGTCAGTTTTTTTTTTTTTTTTACAGGGTCAGGGAGTAAAGAAAAAATAAAGTAAAAATTAAATGTGATTCTGAGCGAGGACGTTGTTCAGGTGAGCATGGGGACATCGTCCTCTGAGGTGGTGTCCTCAGACAGTGGGATGAGCAGCACCTCGTCGTCTGAAGAGGAGGAGGAGAAAGACGGAGAGGCGGAGAGAGGCATGGAGTTGGTGGAGGAGGAGGAGGAGGAGGAGGACGACGAAGAGGCCCTGAAGAGGGAGAGGCTCAGGCCTAGATTTTGGAAGATGGAGGCCAGGGAGGGGCTGCTTGGAGGGACGGCGACAGGCGGGGTGGGGGGAGTGTCCGAAGGAGGAGCCGGGGGCGCGTAGGGAGGAGGCGGCGCKGAGGAGACGGGCGGCGGGAGCAGCAGAGGAGGCGGGACTTCCTGCTGCCGCTCCGTCTGAACCAGYAAACCCAGTTTCTGAGGCGCYGGCTGACTGGCCGCCTCTGACGCTGGCGACGAAGAGGAGGAGGACCGGGCGGGCGAGGACTGGGCCGCGTCCTGACCTGACGGCGCCGAGCTGGACTGCTGCTGGGAGGAGCCGGAAGCCTGGCCGGGCCTGGAGGAAGTTCTGGGGATGAGGCCCCACCTCCTCATGCGGCGGACGGCACGCCGGACGAATCGGGGCCTGCGCCTGCGGTGCGGRGAGTTCTGGGCGTCCTGACGGAGGAGCTGAAGGATTCCTCTCAGAGACAGAGACGACGTCTGACGAGGAGGAACACAGAAAAGAGCAAAATGGTTAAAAAAGAAAACATGATTCAAACTTTTTATAAACACTGCAATGTAACTCAATAAATAATCAAAAATGAAAAATAAATGTATTAAATTAAATACAATTTCTTTAAATAAAAAGGAGAAATTTGTCCGTCTAGCAAATAAAAGATGAGTTATTTAWTCTATGTGCGCTATAATAATTAAACACTTTGACCAGTTCTCTGCTCTCACCTCATTGGGGCTCTCTGTGGGGAAATCCTCCACAGGGGGGATGATGCCCTGGGCGATCAGCTGACCGTAGGATGGAGGAGCTTGTTGCTGGATCAGCTCTGCTTCCTGTCGGCTAATCGGRGCGAACATGCTGCCATAGACAAGTAAATAAAAATTATTTTCAGATACAAACATAAAATGTACATCAGTTGAAATACTTGTTACAAAACGATGACACACAAAGGCATCATTTGACTTTATTATGAAAAGATTTATGAGTATTTCTGTTTCAAATGCTCAGAGGGAGTCAGAAACCCTAATGACTTAGTCAAGATGCCCTACATTTTTATTAGCACATTTAGCATGACTCACRTGGTCGAGACAAGTTGCAACAAGGAGATTTTACTTGTTTTTCCTCAGAAAAGTGGCCGACAGACAGAGCTGTGAAAACTAGCTGTGCTGATTTAATATCACTGAGCAAAAAAAAAAAAAACAACCCTGATCAGCTCTTTCAAAGACAGAAAAGTAAGTCCAATATTTCCTAGAAAGCAGAGATTCTTTCTTCAAATCCAGTGGTGGGCAGCACTAAAGCACTGACACAAATATTTAGGTCCCCTAATTCTAAAGCACTAATGCACTGACAATTTAGCAAAAGCTAATTCTAAAGCACAACAATAACCCAGTTAACCCAAGAGCATTCTTCAACAAACATGAGTCACATATCGTCATGTTGCTCTCTTAAAGGGATCCATGATTAATTGTAACATTAGACTTTATTTGATAAACATTTATTTTAACTGTAAAATAAAGACTGTAAAAATACTGTAGGATGTTTAGTTTTGTAAATTTTTAAAAATATATTTTAACACAGAAGGAGCCATTTTATTTACACGCAAAGCATTCTGGGTAAATGATGATGTGGATAGATCCTCGGTGCGAGGCTGCTAGCGAGCTATATCCACCCTGAAGGTTAAACTGAAACATTAACATTGATCAATAACATTTATAGACCTCAGTTAGTGCTTCTAAATTTAATCTATAAATTTAGCAAGTGCTAATCCACTAATAAATTTTAAAATTAGCAAAAGCCCTAAAGCATTAATGAGGAAATGAGTTCCCCTATTAGTGCTTTAGTGGAACTGTGTCCACCACTGGTGAAATCCAAAGTGGCGGTTACCTGTACTCTCTGGTCCGGAGTGAGTACAGCTTGCAGGTGCAGCCCATGGCGATGACCAGCAGCAGGCCGCAGATGAGGCTGCCCACCGTCGCCGCGGTGATGACCTTGCGGGGCAGCATGGCCGTGCAGTTCAGCTCGTCCGTGCCGTCCTTGCAGTCCACCTGGCCGTCGCAGCGCCAGCTCTCGAACACACACCTGCAGCAGGAACAATGAGGCGTCTGTTGTTAAACAATGCAGGGGAGACCAACGAGCCGAAACACCAGAAAAACTGTTAAACACTGTTACGTCCCTACTGAGAGGATAAATACTGTTGTTTTGTTAGGAAAACCTCCAAGACACACTTTTCATGCAAATTTGTTCTTGTTGTCAAAACACAAAAACTGTGTGCTGACAAATGACACAAAGGTTTGATCTTGTAAAAATTACAACAGCAGACTTGTTTATTAACCTAATGAACAAGTGAGAAAATAAATTATTCACAAACAAAACGACGACAACTGAACATCACATAAATGGACTCWAACTCTAATTTCTAAACACTAGGATTGGGTGATCCAGTCCAAAATATGAACCACGAAAAACTGTGGCTCTTAGCTAACAACGATTAATATGATGATGATGATGATTAATCCCCTGGAGACACAATCACTTCCTGGTCACGACTGATTTAAATCGCTCTCCAACAGGAGAGAGACACTCTCTCTAAAAATCTGTTCCGTGTAAAAATACAGACTTGAAGCTACACACCTGTCTTTAAAAAGTTTTAATAGAACAAGTGAAACCAGAGTTATAATAAATAATTTATGGCACTATTTTTATAGAGCATCATAACTGAAGCGTTGCAGCAGGAGGCAGCGTAAGACGAGCAGATTCATGGTTAAATACAAACCTCAGTTCACCCTCCTGTCTCACCCMCACCGAACAAACACAAAACCCTCAAACTCCTTTATGGTTGACGCCTGAAGTTATTTGACAAGCACCAAAAAAAGTCTACAGGAAGAAAATAAAAAGAGGCRAAAGYTGAATGAAGTTCAGCGGAGATGGAGAGACGGCAACAGCAGGAGAAAATAATGAGATTTGAAAGATTTATGAGATTTATTGTTGGGGTTTTATAATTAGAGTGTTGAGCATTTAGTTTATCAATTTTAGTGTGTTTGAGCCAAAACAACGAGGCAATATTTGAACTTGGAGCTGCAGACAGAACCTGCTCAGAGAGGAGGTAATCTCAAAAGGCAGAGATGAAAAGAGAAAACAGTCTGAGATAGAATGAGGACTTCGAAAAGGAAGTACGCAATTCATTATATGGTTTAGAAGAGGAGCACAGAGTGGACTACAGGGGAAAACGCCGGCCCTGTACACCAGTTCACCCCGCAGCTTTAATCATATTAATCACAAAGTGCCAAACATTAACCGTTTCACTGACAAGTAATGCAAGATACATTTTTGCCAAACAACACTGGACACAAAAACATATTTTGGAGCAGATGTGGTTGAGTGGTCAGGGCAATCTATGGGATAAATCCTGTGCCACCAGGAATTGAATTTGAATTATTCAGGTTGAATCTGTACGTGCATAATTTGAAATTGAATGCATTGGTTTGAAAATGAATTTTACTAAATTGAAACTGAATTTTGGTTTATTAAAAATTCAGTTTGACTACTTTCACTTTCAGTTCTATAATTTAGATTTTTGTGTCACATCCTGGTCCTTGAGAAAGCTGTCAGAGTAATAAAACAGATCCACAGATTTACGTTTCACTTCCGTGAAGCTTCCTTTCTGTAATGCAAAAGAGTTGATAACTTTGTCTGTTTTTGTCACTTTTACAGTGGATTGCATCAACACTGTTGCATTACAGAAGAGAAACTTCACCAAATTGAAAGATAAATCTGTGGATCTGTGCTTGATTACTCTGGCTGGCTTTCTCAAGGACCAGGATGTGGGACACAAAAATCTGAATTATAGAACTGAAAGTGAAAGTAGTCAAACTGAATTTTTAATGGACCAAAATACAGTTTCAAAGCAAATTAATTCAGATACAAAACTTTAAATTCTGTTTCAATTTAGT